AGCTTTCTTGGACCCCTCTTCCTTCTAGGGCCCTACCCCAGGACATTCCCCTAAGTAGGTCCCTCAAGAGGCCAAAGTTAGCTCTCCTCAAGTCCAGCGTTGCAATCCTACTCATTGCCCTGCTCCCTCCTCATAGGATCCTGAACTCCACCATCTCATGGTCACTGCAGCCAAGGTTGCCCCAACCTTCACCTCTCCAACTAGACCTTCTTTGTTTGTTAGTACAAGGTCTAGCAATGCACCTCTCCTCATTGGCGTCTCCATCACCTGGATCAAGAAATTATCACCAGTCCTCTGCAGGAACCTCTTTGACTGTTTGTGCCTAGCTGTGCTCTCTTCCCAGCAGAGGTCAGGGTGGTGGAAGTCTCCCATGAGATCTAGGGCCTGTGATCGTGAGGCTACTTCCAGCTGTCTGTAGAAGGCCTCATCGACAACTCTCTCCTGATCAGGTGGCCTGTAGTATACCCCCACAACAGTGTCACCCATATTACCCTGCCCTTTAATCCTCCTGCTCCTCAATTCCTCAGTGTTCTTAATCAATAGACCACCTAACTTCTTTAAAACACACAGACACACACAGGCACACACACAGACACACACACATCCTGCAGGCCTCTACTGTTAAGCAGCAAGCAAGGGAGCTGTGTGTCATGTATGTAAATAAAAAGTTATTGCTAAACAAAATTGTGTTTTACTTCAAAATTAGAAACAATAACGTATAGAATACTGATAAAATATAAAATGACACATGGGCTTGGATGTCAGAAGATACTGGTAGCAATCATGAACTGGCTCCCAACTTTTCCTCAGGGCACTTATTATTTCTTTGATTGCAATATTGTTATGAACTGTCTTCTGCTGCCTTATGAGTAACTTGTGACTGATGGGTGACACTGCTGATGTACTAATGAGCTCCCAACAGTAGAAAAGAAATACACTTGGCACCTGATATTAAGTTGGAGAGAGGGCTTTAAGCCTGTAGAGGGCGAGGCAAATAAGACACATACAATCCATGCCCAGATCCTTAGAGGGGACCATCCTGGCCTCCTCATACAATCAATGAGATATTCAGCTGACAACAGTTAAAGCTATGGCTCCACAGTTTTCAGGATACATTGGCTTATGCTTCCTTCAAAGGAAATTGGTAGCTTCAGGGGAAGTCCTGAAGGTGCAGCCTGCAAATCTTATCCGTTTGGAAGAAATACAGGATTCAGTTCTCTAGATCCTCAGGGACCTTGGAGGCCAGGCAGGTCCATTGTGACATAAAATGCGCATCTATCATGCTAGCACAGAGAATGCAGGACTGAAATCTTTACAAGAAAAGGGGATCTCTTACAGACATGTTTTGCCTGCTAAATGGGCAAGTGACTCCCTACTTGCATTAACAAAAGCCGCTGTTTAACCTGGAAAAGGAAATACAAGATAGGACTTCTAATGTTTTCCTTTTTGCCCATGAAGGAAAGGAACCATATGTGCTATCACTTTGGGAAGAGAGTATGTAATTTGTTTGAAAAGAGTTACACATATGAATGTCTGTTTTTGTTTGTCCCCCCTCCATCCTTTGCCACGTTTGCATAAGAATAAAAAGAGCTTACAAGAATCTTTACAGTAAAACCTTTACCAAGTCCTCCAGCGAATGGAGTGCCATGAAGGAGAACACTTCTATCTGGATCCTCAAAAAACCCCTCAGTTTTCATACTGGGAAAAAGCATTATCATTATTCACCTGCTTTTTGAAAAAATATTTAACTGTTACATGACTAGCTATATGTGAACAGCAAGTAGGGGAGGGGAACATGCTGAGCAAAATGAGTGCTCTTCCTTTCTGTCCCATTATGGCTGTGCAAAATTATAGAGAACTCCAGTTCTGTGTGAAAGGAAAGAGGCTTCTAAACTGACTTAAAAATACACCTATACTCCAGCAGTTCTAGGACTACTTTGTTTTTTTTAATCTTTTCTGAAGCTCTGAAGGCAGTGTCCAAGGCTTGATATTCAAAATAAATACAAAAAAACTAAAAAAGAACCATAAAGGAAAGCCAAATAATCATCTAAGAGGGAATTCTGAAAAATGATACAGATGTGAACACAGCTGCAAGGGAAATAACTGATTCCATTAAAGTTTAGCGTGTTGTGTACTGCAGGCAGATGTTCGTAACTTCTAACTTTCTCAGAAGAGGCCTTAATTGGCTATATACCACCAGTACTCACAATTTCTCTGTACCTGTAACTTATATCGATAGGCTGATTGAGTATGCTGTGAGCATACACACTCATTTTCATTACTTACATTACTTGGCTCTTTAAAGCCCTGCTTTGTTAATCACTAGCTATTAGTGATAGCTTTTGGCTGGTGTACATTTTAGGATGCTTTTCTTCAAACCAAAAGAGAGATTCAAAATAATGAGTAATTTACAGAATGGTATTAATGTTCCAATAAAAAAGCTGAAGCTATGCTATTGCAAGCTATTTACATCATTACGCACTGCAAACTGACAACTAGAGCTAGTTATTTTCTGAAGAGAAGACCCCGATGGGAAATCTGAGTCACGGGGCAAGCAGTGGTGATGGCGATGACCATCCCTGTTGCAGGAGGCCACCGAACATAGCTTACAATGTTTGGCAGTATATGTACATATCATTCAAAGAGGAGTGCTGTACACGTGCCAGCATCTGCACTCTTTCACATCCAACACCTTAAATCACTGTTACAGTTCAGGTTCTGTTCTCTTCATAAAAGTAGTACATAGAAAGTGAGGACTGAATTCTTCTTTAACTGGTGAAATATGCGATACTTAAGGTCAGGGATATATTCAAGTAATCACAATAATCACAGCTTTTCTACTGACCAAGTACTGAGCCGGAGGCCAGGCTATGGCTCAATAACCTTTTGCTTCACTCCAGAGAAATGGAGGAACAGCAGTACCAGGAACAGACAGACTTAACTGGATAAAGACAACGCTAGCTGAAATTTCAATAGAGAAAAGATTTTGTTTGCAGGTATATACATTGGAATCTTTCATATTTACACTCTGTGTCTCCTGAGTAAATTCAGGTTTAAGTAAATATGTTCTGCCTTCTTGACCTTTCTCAGTATTTTGAATTGACTACACTATATTCTTTATTTCATCTGTTAAATTATACAATCTGCTGTAAACTGCTAAACTGCAACTATTTGTGGTTCAGGGATGAAGTGATTCTTGTAATAAAACATGGTTAAGTAGCTCCCACTACAGTTAAGGCTGAGATCCTATTTCCATTGCTCAAAATAAATTCACCTGGGGCTCAGGTGAATGAAGTAGGTTCTGTATTTATAAAGGTCAAATATCATCTTTCTTTTTTCCTGTTTAAGTTTGGACTCTTGCATTTGGTTTTTACTGCTGGCACCTGTAACCAACCTGCAATTTTCTGTTGACAAGGATTCTTCAGTATTTTAACTTAGAGATTTTGTTGTCAATAATTTCTACAGCTAAAACCCATTAAGAAAGTAGAAGAGAAGCATACATATATAAAGCAAAGGCAATTAAAAAATATAGAACAATATTAATTAGAAGAAGTGTTCTATATTTATCCAAATCTGGATCTCACTCACTTGATGAAGCCACATTCTGATAGCGTTGTAATTTTCACAGCAACGTTTCTTTTCCTTCGATTACCTACTGGTCCTGAGAAGTAAACACAAGGAAAGGCCTAACAAAGTTACAGAAGTGCGAGTGCCTTGGAAATATGGCATAAGGTCAACCTTGCTGCATGCCTGCAGCATTGTTGAACAGTAAGTCCTGCCTCATTCCTTACAGAATAACTGAGGACAGCAGAGCCTTGTGAAACTACCTTCTTTCTAACTACCCTTCCATCAGAAACCAGCTACTGGGGTTACTGGGCCTTAAACAGTGATCTAAACTTTGTTAACCACTGCTGTGAGCCAGTAAGATTTCCCACATTGCTTGTGCACACATTCTCCTTGATGCTGACGCTCCTTTTCAGAATAAAAGCAGATTATGTTTTGACCTCTGCACAGGTGTCTTGCTTCCCCTAATCCTCCTAATGGATCACTCCAAGCCCATAATAATGGGCTTATTTTCAATATCGGCCCATAGCTTCGGCAGACTCTATATTATAATGAACAGAATCAAAATGTTCCTTAATAGTAAGGATATTCAGTGAACCTCTGTGTCTCATCCTTAATAAGATGATATGTGGCTATGTATGAAGTAACAAGTATTTTAATTAAATCAATAAAAAGACTTTTAGGACTCCAGGCCTTCTCCTGTACAGGCTCCACCTCCCACCAATGTCATTGTCCTGACATGTTCTGAGCATTTGTGGTTCTCCTCAGAGCTGAAGGTGACGTAGGTCATTGACTTGCCTATTCCTCTGATGATGTCAAAGGGAGCTGCAGTTGTCCAGTGCAGCTGAAAATCTGGCTATTCACTTTAAGGTAATCACTTCTAGATAATCAGCCTTGACAAATGTTGGCCTGCATGTTTGCTAATACATGCGCTATTACATAGCCCATATATCCTCTGTCTTAATTTCTGAAATTCATAAATCCCTGAATATTCCTGTACTTTTCACGTAGGAGTGTAGGGCTACACGGTATACTTCTTTATACAACCGCTAACTAGTAGAACCCTCTGCAATAAGCAGAGAGACAAAACCAACCAACCAACCAACCAACCAACCAACCAACCAAACAGAAGTATTTTTAAAGGAACATAAGCATAGAATTGACAGTTTTGGGTTACAGGGATAAAGCTTTTGAAACTCCCACGGTGGGTGAGGAAGATAATTGTCTTTATCTCTTTCTTCGTAAATTGAATAACGGGGTACAGTTTTAACAGGTCTCATTTGTCTTTTATATTGATTTCCCATGATCCTAGTCCTCCCAATTGGAATGTAATTTGTGACTGCATTAAAAAGCAGGCATTTTTCATTGCCTTATTTAGATTTTGAGGTTGAACACAGACATGTCTAGGCTGGTCCTGCTTGAATTAAAATGGAAGAAGAATTCACTATTTAAAACAGACATATCACTGAGTGCTGCACTTGATCCGACGTATAACTCCTGAATATCAGATGGGGTACTGTAATGTGTACGTGTGTAAAAATATGTATCATTCTGTAACTGTCTGTGCTTTTTGTGAAGTCAACACACTGCTGCTTTTATTTCGTCTGTAACAGAGTTTGTGGAGATATTAGGCCTACATGGAAAGGGCAGGGCTGTCCAGTGTGGAATGGCTACTGTTCCTCAGCAGACATTGATCCAAAACACTTGCATCTTCACTCAACTATATAAAGCATTCCTGAATCCTAATCCTCCACTGTCTTCCAGCTATACGGTCCTCCACTACTCTTGCATTTTGAATGAACTACAGAGATTACTTTAGCAGTTCTATTGAGTTGGTGACCAGACACCATGTGTCTCTAATCAACATTAACTGCAGCTCTTGTGTGTCCTATGCGTTGCAATACGGAGTTGCCACACTGAGCAACTGTCTTCTAATTGAGATAGAAGCTGAAATAGGCACTACTCCAGGGGAAAAAGCTAATGTTCAGCTGACTTTTTTCCTAGTCCCTTCCCCAGCTACGAGGTAATTTCACATCAAACAGCGGAGAAAAATACTCAAGCCAACTCGTCATTACAATTAATCAGAAAAACAATTTTTTAAAATGTCTGCATGCTAATCTGTCAGGTCGTCTTCTCTGACTACACTAACAACTCAACAATAAATCTTATTCATTAGCAATGACACTTTTACAACTTTTAAAAGGATGTCTATCTAGGTTTGGTCAAATCAGCTATCACATTTCCATATACTTAACAGTAAAGCAACTCATAAAGAAGTACTGCAAGACTACTTTGAGCAGAAAACCTAACTGGAGGTCTACCCCCAGATGAATTCCTATGTAACACAAAAGTAAAATGCGCTTACTACCTTCTGCAGTTCACACATAAATAACACTTTGCTCCCTGAACGACTATTGATTATCGTATTTACATATAACCTACTTGAGAGCTATCAATAGAAATGATGGAAATAAAGTCTTTGTCATTGCTCAGATAAATCTAAATCAAATCCATTTAAAAACCTGAATTCTCATGCATATTTTTTATGGATCACTCTCATGGCTATACTCAAACTAAAGCCAAATCAAACTGAAATTTGCTTCCCCAACTGTTGATGAAAAATGGAAAATTATCCGTATCCTGCAGCTATGGAACACAGAATTACATAAACTTTCTTTTAAGTATGTAAGCCTGCAACAGTTGCAACTTACCACTCATGGGCATTTAGACAGTACAAACAGCTCTAGCAGATGCATTTATATGTCTCTCACAGATGAACGCTTTCACTTCTGTCACTAACTTCTGCTGTATATTTTTATATGTCACAAAGTATATCCATAACAATATTCTGTACTGCTAGATGTAATAAATAACTTTGACCTTTGCGACTTTTGCCTGTAGAATTAAGCAAATGGCTGTAACAGCTCAGTACTTCATTCCTCCCTTTCTAATATTTGCTGAATATGATACTTAGCGTTTAAAAGTCACAACCAAAATTCTGCTTTTCAATAATTTTCCTAAAAAGGACAGATGTACTTTTGCTTATATTGTTTTTCTCAAAAGCAGGGATTGGCATTTAAAGTATGTTTGCAAGGTTTGACCACTGAAAAAAGAACACGTTATTCAAATAATTACTACTCTTTTATGATGACAAAGCAAAAACAGGATAAAACAGCTTAGGGATTAATTGAGCAGAGATGAGTTGCCAGCTTACCAAAACGTATGTCCTTCTCCACCAAAAGGAGTATGTCCCCCCTGTAGTATCCTCTCCCAAGTCAAATCAGTGAGCGTGACTGCTGATAAATAAGAAGGTTAGACTATTAACATCTAGCAGTGTTCCATGTAATGTATATGGATAAACACACTTAAAAATGAGGAAAGATGGTGACTGAAATAGTTTACATGGTATACTTCCATTATTTTCCCCATAATTATTTCACCTTTTTGTCATCATAATAATTTTTTTTTATTTGGAAAAGAGAACATGCTACATCCTGTGACATGGATGCTTCTGGTAAGGAAGTGGACTATTCATCTTCGAGGAAGGAAGACATCGCGAGTGCGTAGTTCACTGTCCTTCCTTCCTGTCTTTCCCAAAACAAGTCAAATTTCTCTGCAAAGCTCTTACAGAAAAATCCAAAGTTCAATTATGTATTTAAAAGAGATTATGAAAAAGGCATTCTATATCCTATTTATCTGCAGCAACATCAGCTGTTCTAATAACATGGAATATTTCTCGATGCACATACAAATACAGCAGGTTAGCAAATAATGACTGTAAAATACATCTAAATAAACTGTCATATGGACAGGGCAGACGATAATTGATCACATGAAGTAAATTAAAAACCACAGGGAATTATAATTGTGCAGCTTTTGTTTCTATATACTCATGAAACAGCAGAATATAAAATATTTTGTAATTTTTAAATGGTTGTTTAACCATCTCAGTCTTGCTCTCAGTAACGCTTCACCATTTCTATGGTGATAACACTTTACATACAGCACGAATGACTGTCCTATTATTGTGAAATATGTGCAAATCCAGAGGGTGAAATAAATCTGTGAGTACTTTACCAGCTAGAAAAGATTAATAGTATCTCATTTGTCAACGTATAGAAGTCATTGAAATATGTTGGCTGATCATCCTGGTGGAGAGAGATAGAGAGATTGAAGTTGTTATATTTATTTAAAGCACGTTAATACCAACACCATAGTAAGGACTGTTTTTTAAATTAAAGAGGTGTTTAAGATATCGCAGCTGATTAGTACAAGAAATAAAACATAAATTGTTACCAAGAGATGAGTGCGTGAAGAACAGGAATACACAGCAGCGTACGATGCATGGAATCCTTCTACAATAACTAGTAAATATTCAGGCAAGAAAAAAGAAATCCAATAGTACTGAAGACTGAAAACAGAAAGCTTTAACAGATATCACCGAATACAGTTTCACAGCAAACTTAATAAAGTATAACAAGTTTAAACCGGTTATACAAAGGTGTTATAAATGGAACAGCCTGCAAACATGAATGCTATGTTGCCTGCCACTGCCAAAGCGCATCCACGCCTAAACCGAATAGGAAGGATGGAGAATAATTGCGGGCTGCTGAAATTATTCACATTTTTTGCCCTTAATCCGACTGAGTAACTTAGGATGCCTGAGTGGCAGAAGAGATGGATTTAAACCTGAGTAGGGAATCGAACTCAAATCAGTCACTTCCTGAGAAGCGCTCTGCTAGACATTAGATAAAATGAGGATGGCTTGCCACTACTATGTTAAAGAAGGTGTGTCCTGTGAAATTAGTTGCCTGCCTTATCCTGCATCTCAAGTGCAGCCTCTGTGAACAGTAAAAGATCAGATGCTCTTCTTACATAGTGACCCCTCTTAGATAACTCTATGTACATCTTTGTCCAGAACACGGGATGCCTGGACTGCCATTTGGAAGTGTAACTGGCCTGTTGATAGCACAGAAAACCTCCACGACCAAAAGAGGCACTAGGAATCACCTTTTTGGGAACAGAGTCTTAATTTTCAGATTCTCACCTTAAATTCTTCTGCAGTTCTAGCACTTGCCTTTTTGAAAGCTCACAGCCTAATCCAGTGAACATATCTGCTAAATGGTATCTCCTTGATCTCAGTTTGGCTGTAAGTATCCTCTGGTGGGAAATGGACTTCTGTGTCCCAGTGTGGCAAAGGACCCAGGCACAGGATTAGTAGAGGACCTTTATTCAAGGCATGAGAACTTAGATGGTGAACTTTTGGTCAGTTGTTAGCTTTTTATTTGCACAGTAGCTAATCCAATAATTTTAAGCTAATAAAATATATACATTCATAATGGCTAAGCCAACAGAAAGATAAAAATTATTAGTGAGAAAGGTGCTTCTGGATATTTTCATTATCAAAACTTAAAGATCTTCACATATACTAATCATCTGCTAAACATCATATCTATTTTATAAAGGTAGATATAAAAACAGCTAAAAAAGCATTGCAGAATTTTCCTGGAGGCTAGTAAAGCTATTCTGTTGCAATCAATGAAGCAAAGTAGTAACATCTGCCTATGGCATTCTTCATCTAGAAGGGCCCCAAACCACTCTGTTTGCCAACTGTTTATACATTCAAGATTATTCCAGATGTGTACTTATACATTATTTCAGTATGTTAGTGCCACTGAGTAGCGGTAAGAGCAGGTAAATTTTTGGAAACAAACAAAATCAGATTTTGATCAAACCATGATGCTAAACTCCTTACTTATGTGTTAATTGTTATATGTGTGATCTCAAAAACAACCACAAATGATCAGAATATCAACTTATTTCTCTTGTGAGAGCCAATTAATGTTAAATTTATTCTTAGGTTGAAACAAGTGTAACCACACAAACAAAAGTCTCATCAAAGCTGAATTATAGTGTACATGCAGACATACAATTGGAAGGCATTTGACAAGCAAAAGGTAGATAAATATAACATACCTATGGCTTGGAGGGTCTCCAGCGACCTCTTTTGTAATTGAGTGTCCATTTGCTAATGCCACCTTTGAACTATGGGGAAAAACATATATTATTAAAAAGGTTCTGCAGGAATATTCTGAAATGCAGTCAGTATATGAATTCAGTGATTGTGATTATTTTACTTAAAAATGTATTTAGAAGAACACAATCACTGCTTCTTTATTATATCTGTGGTTATTCTTTCATGCATTAAATAACTGTATTTCTGCCAGATTTCCAGCAAAAAATAAAAAGTTTAAAGACCGACAATCATTGATTCAGAAGTCAAGTCAAAAATAACCTCTTTTGTTATCTTTCTCTTTTCCCTCAACCCATATTCCACTCACCTGTTGTGCTTGTTTTTTTCACTCATAGTGTGATGACTTTCTGTAGGTTCAATGTATCGTCAGAAACTCACCTCTAACCTAATTTATCCAGCTCCAGTTCATTCTTTATCAGCCTTGGTAGCAGTTGCTATGACACAAGGTATACTGAAAAAAGATGCACACTTGCTTGATGATGCAGCACTATTTCCGGGTTACTGGAACACATGGCAAGTTACACAGATACCTGAGAACTCTGCGTTCATGCTGATATGTCTGTAGCATGGCACTACAGTAAACAAAAGTATTTTATATTATTATTAAACTACACTAAAGATTTTTGCAACTATTGCATCAGTTGATTGGTAGCTATCCTTGTTCATTTTAAGAGTAATTAACCTTATCTACTATATACAATTGGTAGCTATCCTTGTTCATTTTAGGAGTAATTAACCTTATCTACTATATACAATTGATGGTCTCCATTATCAGGTAACTGTATCATCACATTTGGAATTCCTACAAAGGAGCAAAACAGAGATGCGGGCCTAAAACTGGGAATTTCATTGTAAATGAAATAGTAACATATTGAAACAGCTGAGGATTTTCATTCCAACACAGTAGCATTGTTCCAACAAAAGCATGTTGGCTGTAAATGGATTGTACTAAATTTAATTCTTCCTTTGGTATACAGCTCTGATTTTCAAAAGGAATTCAGATCACAGAAATTAAAGATAAAATCCTGTTTGTTTCTCCGTAATACTAAAAACTCAGCTCTCCAATATAGTCTTCTCTTTGTTTTCCTGTACAAAAGGGACTGGTAATTTGGGATCCCCAGATAATTATTAGAAGTTGATCGATAAATATGGATAGCTATCAAGAGACGTCTCTGCTATTGCATATGCATATGAAAAGACTATGACAGTACGTAATTTACATTAAGGCTTTACACTGCTTCAGCTTTCAGGATTTATACTAAATTAGAGCTCCTACTCTTGACTAGGGAACCTACGCTTCAAAGTATTTTGTGGAAATAGGGCTTTGATATGTTTTAGATCATAAAAAAAATAAATTGTTTAATTTCCCAGTACCTTTTACAATTGGTGCAACTCACTACATTGAGCTTATCACTAGATTGCTTTTAATTTCCATGTCTTCTCATCCCTTTCCATTCCTCCCTGCCTCTTTTTTTTTTTTGCTGTCCTTGTAAAAGATAATTTCATTTGGTATACTTTGTTTTAAAAACGGTAGATAAGAGTGATTTAGCACTAATTAATTTCAAATAACTTCATTAGATTGAGAGTGGGAATGACTCTTGAGATGTTTCTCATCATTCTTAAAACAAAAATTCAAAGGCGTTAGTATATTGGCGTTATTTACATTGGTGTAAGAATGAAAGTGTGCCCACCATAAAAATAACAAATATGGCACCATATTATTAAATATTAAAAATAATCACAAATCAGGTAATGCCAAAAAATAATTTTGCTCAACAATCTCAATTTGTCTTCACAACATTTGTGTGTGTGCATTCTTCCTTTTAGTATTAGTATATTTGATTCATTTTCATATGAGAAGCTTCTTTTGAAACTACACCATGAGAAGGACCTAAGAACAGAATTATTATTTAAATTCAACAAAATTATTTATTACTTAAATGCAGAAGCACTTCAACCCAGTTATAGGGCACCCCTGTGCTAAGCAGTCTTTGCTCAAGAAAACAAATAAAAAATAAAACCTCTTTTCCAAACAGATCATACAGGATGGCACCAACTATGTTACTAATTCCAAATAAAGATGATTTGTGCTGGATTTTTTTTCTATATGGCATATGGGAAGCCTGTAATATAAGGACTGAGTAGAGCTGGGCACAGAGAAAAAAAAATCATGCTAAACAAAAACGTATTGTAGTTTGGCTTGAAGTGGCAAGACTGTTCAGAACATGTCAGTAATTTCATCAGATAAACTTAAAATAGCTTATGCTGAAAGACTATGAAATAATTCAAGAAAGCTCAAAAAAATCTAGATTATGATCTGAAGAGAGAAAAAGAACCTATGCTAACTGCACAGAATTATGTAGGTAACTTGAACAAAATAACAAGCAAAAAAATCTGTCCTCAAACCAGATTAAAAAAATCCTCTTCATTTGAAACTATAACCCCATCTAGTGGGACTCCTTTTCAATAGCTCTGTGATAGGATTTGATCTGTTTCTTACTATTACCCTGAATATTTTCTGTCAGAAAAGACCAAAAAACAAGAGCTGGAGAGCCTTGGGTTTTGCTGGCACGAGAGTTTTCCTTAAAGTATTCTATCCTTGCTCCCATTAAGATTACCTTACTAGTAATAAGGGGTTGATGTATTCAGGAATACTATCTATTATGTTATCTAAATGAACTCTGAGAAAAATTACAGTAACACCTTGGAAAAAATACAAGCATCCAGTTGCGAGAAAGGTAAGAGATTTATAGATAGAAAAGTACAATGTAAAAGTAGCGTAGGTCAATGGTCCTCGGATTACCCAAACTGCATGGTTTTCCATCAAAGTTGTCTGTGGTCATGAAAATTAATAAATTATAAGGGGGCCCAAGGCTGTAAAAGAAAATCTCACTACAGCCTGATACCCGCTTACCGTCATTGCCTGGGAACAGTGACTGGTCGGGACTAGCTTATAATGAACAGTCCAATAATGAGTGTACACTGGTAAATTGCATTACTAGCACCTTCCACTGGCTTTGTTCCTCTTACCTTTTATAACATGAAAAAATTGAAGAAGAAAGATGACTCCTCAATTCTAAACTCTTCTTGCCAGGTGACTGTGATGCATGGAGCAAGCAGAGCGTAGAGGGTGTTTCAGATCTGCAATACCTATAGTTCACCTTATTGTAATACATAGCTGGGACTGAACGCAGAAGCCATGGTGTCTACCTTGCAGAATAAAGTGGCCCGCCTTTCACAAACATTACTGCTTCACTGATGGAAGCCCTCAAGCTGTTTTTCTTGACAATTCATTTAGTAATAGCATCTTCATCAGCATCCTGCCAAGACAGCTGTACAGAGCACTTTCTCACAGGCTGTACAGAGTACTTTCTCAAGCTCCACCCAGCTTACTTTCTGAAGACTGTGCACATTTTTAAATGATCTTTCATATTTCTTTGATCAGGAGTTATGGCCACCAGTGTTGACGTACAAATTATCATCAATTAGCTAGAGAGCATACATCCATTGATACAAACGGACCAGTTGTACTTCTCTCAGACTTGCCACTGGATACTTGCAAATTTAGCCAGATAGTGCTACTGTGATTTCTGTTTCAGAGACTTTCGGTCTGTAAGACTGGCAAGATTTGAACCTTAAAATATAAGAACAGATATACAAGCTGTACCAAACTTCCATCTATCCCAGTATCCTACCTCTGAGATATTAATGGATGCTTACGGAAAGACTGGAAAAAATGAGCAACAGCGGAGCCATCTTTCTTCCAGTAAACTTACCCGGCTTCTAGCAATCTGCAGCTTTGGGATTTTCTATTGCTTAATAGCCCTTAATGGAGTTTTCTTCTGTGAATTTGTGTAACTGCCTTTTAAACCACTTACCTTTTGAACCAAAAGATCCGGTGGAAATGAGTTCCAGAATTTAATGACACTTTGCCTGAAAAAATATTTGCTTCTGTTGTTTTAAACGTGCTACCTGATCATTTTCTATTCTATTCTTTCTTTTTTCAGGATTTTACAGTACAGAGAATGCACAGACCCTTGATATGTCGACATAATAATGTTTTCAATTTTTTTCTCATCTACCTGTTTCCTAATATTTCCTAAATTTCTATTTTCCTTTTTGACCACTGATGAGCATTCAGAAAAGTACCTACAAGGTTTCTAACACCTCTTTCCTAAGTAGGAATAGCTAATTCAGAGATCTCCATACCTACTGACTGATTAGAATTCCTTTCCCCTAGATGAATGATCTTCATTCATCAACAGTTAATGACAACTGACGTTTTCCCATTCACTCAAGTTCATGATATTCTTCTGCTACTCCTTATTGTTTTGATCACACCGATTAGCATTCTGTAATAAACCTCATCTCTTCAATATTAATCCTCTCCTCCAGATCACTTAAGAATATTGCTTAAGAATATTATGGACAGCATGGAGTACAGAATCTAGGGGGACTCTACCAGTAAGCTCCCTTCATAAACTGACTACTTACTCCTCCTTTTTGTTTCCAGTTATTTGTTTAACCAATTCCTAACAACTATTATATGCTTAGCTCAAGATGGCAGGCAACAAAAAACGGGACTGATATGCTGAACCAACAACAAAAAAAGACCAACTTCCACCTCACATTTCACTCTAGTATGATACAGCTAATAAATCTAAAATTAAGCATACATGAGCCGAAGACAAACTGTTTTTTTGTGAAAGGAGCTTGCTCATGCAGTGAACAGACTTTCTGACTAAACTGCAAATGTCCATAAAAAAAACTCCTCTACTGTAAACAAAACACTAACTTTACATATCCTTCACAGAACTTCTTGGAAAACTTTGCATGCCTGAATGCACAAAGAGCAGGACAATTTGGGAAGGCCAGTGCAGAATTCATTGCTGTGCAAGCTCTAAATTTATCATGCTGTGTCTTGGGCCAGACTGCTTTCAGTGGTGTCCAGCAACAGGACAAGAGGCAACAGGCACAAACTGAAACACAGGAAGTTCTGTCTGAACATGAGGAAAAATCTCTTTATTGTGATGGTAACAGAACACTGGAACAAATTGCACAAAGAGGCTGCAGACTCTTCACCCTGGGAGATATTCAAAAGCCATCTGGACACATTCCTGGGCCACATGCTGCTCTACATGACCCTGCTTAAACAGGGGGGTTGGACTAGATGATCTCCAGAGGTCCCTTCCAACATCAGCTATTCTGCGATTCAGTGATATTCCAGTGACAAGCCTTACGGCTACTTTATATAAACAGATAGATCTTGATTCTACAAGGTGCTGAATAATTAAACCCTAATTTAAAGATGAATAGTATATACTTAACTTGTGCTATACCAAAGACAAAAGATAAAGCTCTAGTATGTTTAAATTAATGACAAAATTCTAATCTACTTCAATGAAACAAGATTTTATTTAGAAAGCCCAAGCATTAGTAAGATCACTGTAAAAGAAGCAGAGAAGGAAATAAGGCAAATGCCTGGGCAAAAACCTTCTGACTTTAAATTCTGTATCGGAGAAGGAGACAACGTTATGATACCAAATTACTACTAGCTGTCTTTATTGGTCCTGAATCAATAGCCATCACAGTTGATGGAAGACTTTCTATTGATTTGGATCCAAATTGGATTAAGTACATAACGGAGATTACTTTAATGCTGAAATCCTCAAAATACAATGGTGACTTCAAGTGATTCCTCTTATATGAATCCGGTGCCGTAGATTGAAACCTACAATGAGTTTACAAAAGCTGATACATTAGACTTACACATTCATAACTTGCTAGCTAAGAAAGCTGTTTGCCAAAAATTTTGAGTATCTGGCAGCCTGTTGATAAAAAACTGGAAGCAATGACATCTTTGTTTTCAGGTCACCAGAAAAACTGTCAGGACCTCCAAGGACCGAAGATATTACCTATATTTCATAGCATTGCTTACTCTTAAAGAACCTAAAGGTTTTTTAAAAACCTGCAGGCTATAGGAATAAGAAAGTAGAAGGAAAGCACAAAAAACCAACATAGAGATTGACTTGGGCAGGCTGTGAAAAGTCATTTTAAAGAACATATGCTGGTTTAGTAATCTCTACACAAAAAAGGATTGCACTCTGCATACCTATGTTGTTCATGGTATCCAGTATTCCTCTTAAAATGCTTATGTCTAGATTGAACAAAACACAGAGGTTTAAGAAAGGTCACATAAAAAAGAGAAATAAAATTTTTCAAATCAACACATGCAACTCTGCTAGAAGAGAATGCTTCTTAAACTGCTACGCAGCGTATTGTAGAAGACAAATTTGTGTATCATGCTACACTTAGCAAGTCTATAGCTTGTTATACACGCACAAAATAGATACATAACATAAAATACAGAAAGACCTTTAAAATTAATAATTATTATTCCAACAATTAAAAAAAAAAAAACCACCGGATTCTGTAAATATCTTTGTACTTAGCTGTGAGCAACTAAGCAGTCCCAGGGAAAATGACGACTTGACTCCAATGATATATTAAGACGGAAGCAAGCATGTGCAGGATGAAAGCCCCTCACCGTTGGCCACGCACAGACCTTTGGAGCTCTCTGGTCAACACCTTATTCTTGACAGTTCACGTGCTATACTGATTTTTCATGGCTTATTAGCAGACATAGTTTTTACTTGCTGTACAATGTTATCTGAAAGCACTCCGTTTGTACACATATGATGTACTGAGACGTACAAAGCGTCTAAATACTTTTCACAATAGTTAAAAGGTCTTGTAATACCCAAGCGAGAGGAAACGGAGCTCCCTATTACACCGTCGCGGTAACGAAACGCCGGGATCCCACACGGCTTAATGACGCTAACATCATAGCACATGACCCCGGCTTTAGGCAGACTCTTAATTCCGTCATCAAAAGGGAAGAGACTGCACTGAACGTGACTCTCCCGGAACCTGCGGGACAGGTAAGGGCACCTAGGCCCCGA